ATAACTTTATGTGTACCAAATTTTTTAGAATAGAAATATACCGTATTGTTTGCATTTGATGATCCAGCACTTCCATCTCATGTCCCACTCACAATTTCAATTCTGATTAAGAAACAAATAAAAATTAATTCTGATTAAAAAAAAGTTAACTATATTTAATAATTTGTTAAAATAATTGATATAGGTGTAATAATATAATTTTATATAAAAATATGTATGTTCAAAATGTAAATATATTTGTTAATAAAGAATCATATAAAAATAATTAAAATAGTTAATATGATTATAATAAACATGTTTAAAATGTATATTAGTTAATATTTTGTTTTCTTTTAAGCATAATAAAGTAAGTTTTTTTTTTCATTTTTAGTTACAAATCAAATTCCATTTTTAAAAGTTTTAAAAGAAAATATTAATTTAACTAATACAACTCATTTTTAATAAATCACATTTAAGTATTTTAGTTTATGAATGCTTAATAGAAAACTTACATGATTTATTTTTTCCTGGTAGCTTGTGATAAGTATAATTTTTTTTTCAACAATACACTCTCTCAACTTTTATTTTCTATTATCAAATGGGTTGAATAACATGATTCAATGAAACTTGATATATATATATATATATATATATAGCGAATATATTTATATTCACGTTAACTTTTCTAACTTTTTGGTATTTTCTTCACTTCTAATATAACCAATAATGTAAGTTTGCTTATTATTAATTTGGCAAATGTTTTGAATAAGTCTATTTGAATAAAAAAAATGGATTGTTAACACATGCACTGTGACATGTGGATATTATTTTTTCTGTGTTGGCAAGCAGCTGCAACAAGAGACATGTATAATAAACCAAACACATTTGACATTATTGAACACTATGTCATATGGATATTCAAAAAAAATAAAAAAAAATACTAGCGATTCAACACAATTCATTTTTGTGAACTTTTATTCTTCTTCCACTATTCCATAATTCATGTGTATTCTCAGCTGAATTTCTGCAATTCTATAATTTCATTATTCAATTCTACACTTCCACATTTACCAGTTTGAGCAAATATAGTCTTTCTGTTTTTTTTTAAAATAGGATTTTTTGAAAATTTCACACTTATTAAAAAAGCTTAAAATGACATATTTGTTCTTTATTTTTTACTAATATAAAAATAAACAAATATATAAAAAAATAAAAGTAACATTGGAAATATTTAACAAAAGCTATATTGAAAAATGAAAAAATCTTCTTTTTGAAACAATTTTTTTCTAAAAGATTCTCTTTTTAGAAACAGAGAGAGTATATGATTGTCACTTAGCAAAAAAAATAAAATAAAACCAAACTAAATTATAATTTTAAGATTTTCTTTTTTCTTTTTTCTACAAAATAGTTGACGAAACTTTTCGTTAACCAATCATAAATAAAAACTATTTAGAAAAATAATTAAATAATTAAAAAGAAGAGTAAGCAAAAACGAATAATTTTAACATAATTATAAATAATTTTTATAGAAACATTAAAAACTTTGTACTAATAAATTTCTCAATGTTAGATGGATAAATAGAAGAAAAGAAAAAAATTCTAATTCTTTAAAAATAAATGAATAACAATTGATTTATTGTTGCCTTCTATTTTATAAATTTATCTATAAACTCATATCCATATTTGAAATTAATAAAATATAAGAACAAAAATATTTTTTTAGAGGAAAATGCTGTTCTATAATCAAAAAAAATTCTGCTGCCCTACACCAAAAGGTCTTTTAATTGCTCATAGGCACGGCTCTGATACCAGATAGATATACAATATATTAAACCCATAATGAAGTTGGATATAAGGAAGGGTTTTGATAAACTTAAATGGAATTTCTTAGAAATTCAAATGAGATTTTAAGTGATCGTTGGTATTGTTGGATAATTGTCACCTTTGTCCTTTCTCAAATCTGTCTGTCCTTTCTCCAATGCTTTACATCAAAATATTGCTACTCTGCTCCAAAACAAGGCAGATCTGAATTCTTTCCCATATCTTTGAGTGGAGAAAGAATATGGAAGATGAGGGATGATCTTCTATTTCAAACATTATCAACAAGACAGTTCTTGATTAGGGGAAAGAACCTGTGCTGCTTGGCCTCTTCACCAAAAGACTGGCTTGCGGGTTGTTAAAGGCATCTTCATCACTCGAGAACTAACACATTCTCCATTAGATACAGAGGCACTTGCACTTAGAATGTCACTTGCTATATCTGAATGTCACATTCTGTGGAGACGACTCCAACGCCATCTACAATCTCATTCAGCATGAGACAAGCACACGATGATACACTAATTCAAGAGAAGATCCGGTTTCAGTCTTGACTCCATTGTGCACTATTGAGGTCATTTTTAGCATAAGGGAATGATGGAGGAACTTATTTCAATTTTCATGGCCATCAAAAGATGGAAGTGAAAGATTTGGATTTATAAGACTATAAGTCTCTCCTAATTGTGATTCTAGCTGCTGTTGCGGGTATCTATTGTAGCTGATTACGTATCCTACAATTGTGTATGCTTTCACACTTTTGTTTCTCTGAACGAATTTTCTAATTCATCAATCTCTCTAATGATTTTTTTTTTTTTTTTTTTTTTTGCGTGTCAAAATCCAAAATGCAGTCTTATATGGATTTAGAAATCACAGCGATTATGTGACTGGTGAATCTCAACAGCAACAATTGAGATTAATTTCTTCAGTCTAAAACTAATGTCACTTTTTGTTTAATGGAAGACTACTTGTTGTGTTGATCTCAAAGGAAGTCTTCATAAAGAGCAAAAGAAGAAAAAGACTTCTTTTTTGGTCATTTTTACTCTCTTTTTTTGGAACCATTTTCATTGTTGTACTTTGAAAGGACATTGGTATTGAAAATAGACATAACACAGTATGGTTTTGTTATGTCATAAAACAAAACTAAAATTTGCTCTTATATGTACTCATTCTTGCTTATATGAATCACATGCCAGTCACCATGAAAGAAAACGAGGATCAAAAAATCGATTTCTTGTTTATTTCGGTTCTGCTCTAAAATAGTGTCATAACATTGAGACTCTTACGAATTCTAGGTCTTTACAGCCAAAGAAATGTAAAGACCATTGTTCGGTTTATCATCATAGAGAACGAATATGAGAAACATAAGCAAAGCTCACAAATAACGTGCAAATGAAAACCAGAAAAAAAAAACAAATGACAACACAAAACATGTGAATGAGAAGTCACACTCACTGCCAACACTAACTTTAGACTTATGTTATAAACTTGGAATCCACTACATAGTCTACGAAGGCACGAACTGTACACTCAGTCTCAAACGCTTCTTGGTATTCTCCAACACCTCGGATTTCAACTTTTTGGAGAGTGTTCCTTTCGGGATTGAAATAGGAAACATTAAACGGCTTAAATGTTAACTTGTCCGACAAAACAATCTCACCCGTAGCAGTCATCCCAACAACGAAAACTTTGGAGATATCGATTTTATTCTCCGGCAGAGTGTAGACATGTTTCGACCATTCCTGTCTCTCGACATCCTCTAGAACCCACACACACAACTCAATGCCATCAGCTTCATTATACGTCAAATCAACCGCACCTAGTTTCCCCTTATAGTTGATCAATGCAGTACCAAGTGGATCAGAAAAGCAGTCTGCATCAACAAACTTGAATTTCTCAGACCTAACATCAAAGCAAACTATCACATAAACTTCATCAACTTGATTAAGTTCACATAAGTAATACACAACCCCATTGATGCACATCCCTTCACCCAAAGGCTGATGTCCTACGCGACATTTGATCTTCCTCCACCTCCTTTTTCCAGTTCCTAATGTAAGAATTCTATGATCATCAGAACAACCTAGATAAGCCATGAACATACCTTGAATTGCTTGTCAATCAGATCAAACGCTAAATAGCTATTCGACTTTCTGTACCTAAGAAGTTTAGGTAAATTCGTATGCTGTCCCGTAAAGGGGTTATATATCGAACGCACTGTTTCGAAACCCACCTTTGAGATCCGCATGTCTGAGAAATAGATCAAACCAGAGGTAAAGCCACGAAAATCTGGCCACATGTCTTTAGAGAACTTCATGTGAAAATCAGCCGCTACTACAAGAGACAACGACTTCTCATAAAGATTATGAGGTTGACGGGACGAAAAGAAGAGCAACTCCTCGTTGACTCGTTCGAGTGCAAATAAGATACGTGGACGAGGGCGAAGCATGGATTCCCATAGCTTCGACACGCAACGAAATCTTCCGATTAACTTTTCAGGCAATCTCAAGAATATTTCGTCAAGGAGATCCGTTGGGATGGAATTGTAATGTTCTCCTACATTCATGATTGTTTTTATTTGCTGATGGGACAGAGAGATATATATGAATGGATGGATACAATCATCGCAGGTACGCTAATATATACAGTATAGGTTTAACGTTAGGGTTTTCTTAGGGTATTTCCCCCATAATACTCTATGGCGGTGCGAAAAAACCCTAATATAAAAGAAGGTTGATTTTTTTTAGTTAATTTATCTCATAAACCCTAAAACAGAAGAAGAAGAAAAATCCCTAAATCCTTCGACTGCTACGGAGAAGAGGATTGAGAACCTGAGTCTATCTCAGCAACCTGAGTATGTCCTCGTCAATGATTCTGTTTTGCGTTGGGAAGGAACTCTTTGTTCCGTTCAATCTAGTTTCTATGAATCTTATTAAATAGATTTTGATCAAATACGACTTACGGCCTTGTTATTTCACTCCTCGTATGTGTTGATTGGATATGTTCCCTAAAGACATACGTTACATATTGTAAAAACCGTTTTCTTTTCCCAAATTTAAATTTATTCACTTCTGATTGATTATCTTTTAAATGTTTAAGTCCTCACTAATACCAACGACATGATGAGCAACACGGTGGCAGAGGCTATATACGAGGATGCTCCGACGTGGGTTTGTTGGGACATTGAGAACTGTCCGGTTCCTAAGGGTTGTAAAGCTCAGGAGGTCGCTCAGAAAATAAGCTCGGCGCTGGGTAAGTTGAACTACCGTGGTCCAATCTCCATCACTGCCTATGGCAACATGAATCACATCCCTCCTTCCGTCAAGAAAGCTCTCTTTTCCACTGGGGTTGTTCTTAATCACGTCCACGTCAACTCCAGTTAGTCTTCTTATCCTCATCTCTGAAATCTTTATTAAGTATATAGTTCAAGTAAGGCACTACGTGATGTTGTTCAGATTCAAAGAGTTCGATATGTTATAGCCAAACACCATATATATGAGCACACATCTTTATGTTTTGAAACAGGACAGTATCGCTTACATATTTTCCGAGAAGTGTTGTACTGGGAGGATCCAGCTCCGGCTAATCTTATGCTCATCTCCCGTGACGAAGGTCTCGCTTCAACTCTTAGCGACCAGCAATCAAAGGGATACAACGTTCTTCTGGCACATCCTCCAAATGCTTCAGACGAGTTTGTGTCTTCTGCAAAGACCACATGGCTTTGGAGCAGCTTATTGAAAGAACCATTAATGAGCAGCCAGACTTGCCATAATTCTCATCCGAATATTGGTACTACCACTGAGAAGACGCAAGCAGAGGCAAGTTTTTAATACCAAAAAGAGAAGATATTTTTGATTAGCCCAGTACCTCAATATATTTTTGTTGTTCAGTTTTTAGTTTCGTTAGCTCAGTTTGGACTATATTCGTTCATAAAATCTCATATGCTTTCAATAATTTATCAGAGACTTTATAATTATAAGGGAGGATTACTAGAATACTCTTTTAAATAGATCTATTTGCTAGAATAGCTGAAATTTGTTTTAATTACTGAATTAACCTAGCGTACCGATTATGTCCTTAGAGCCTTTGATAACAAAAACGGTATTTACGATTGTGTCATTACTTTTCCTTTGCCAAATCAGCAAGTTGTTTGACGGTAGATTTGTTTTGTCTGGTCAACGGTTGGTAGATTTGTTTCGTGTGGTAGACTTGTTGTTGACGCTGAAGTGGTTATGACGCAGTAGATTTTTTGGGAACTGTAGAGTAGTTTCTTGAACGGTAGATTTGTTGGGGAACTTGGTAGACTTAAAAATACGTTGTGGAAGATTTTTTTTTTCCGACCCTACCAGAGGGTGATTGGTTGACTTTTTACGTTCATTGACTTTGTATAGCGGTAGATTTATTTTTAGGCATGGTAGATTTATTTTTATTTGGTAGACTTAGTATTTGTGGTGGTAGATTTTTGTTACTCCTATTTTGTATTTACTTGGTGGTAGAGTTATTTTGTTGATGGTAGAGTTTCTAGTGCCAACGAATCCTGGTAGAGTTATTTTGCTGTTGTGGTAGATTTACTTCATTTTCGTTGTGGTAGATTTATATTTTCCATAATTACCAGAATAACATCATTGGTAGATTTATCGTGTTAGGTGGTGGTAGACTTATTATGTGCTGGTAGATAGTTGACTTTTTCACAAATCGTGATTGCGTAGTGGTAGACTTTTCATGGGGTACTGAACGGTGAAGAACGTTGAAATCAAATGTTGATCGCACATGCTGCACGACATGCGTCCTTAGCAGAAACTTTTCCCACTCTCTGAAGAATCGGCCCGAGTAGGTCTCTTATTTGGTGGAGTTCATCATTTGTTTTCATTTTACGCTGAAACATAGAGAGTATAGAGAAGCGTATAAAGTCAGAACTGCAGATAAAATAAATCTTCCATCAACTAACCAAGTATATCTACCACAACAGATTAAAAATGGTCGTGCAAAAATTATAAATCTACCACAACGGCTTATTAACAGACCTAGAGTTAACATAAATCCACCAGCACGAGGCCTTGTATAAGTACCATACAATCTCAGACGAAGTGATTTGACGATAATCTCTAACTATAACCTACAACAGATGTGAACTCGCCACATAATTTGAGGTATTTGGCGGATGAAAAGGAAGAGAAAGCAGAATACTTACCGACGAGAGTTGGCAGTCTCGGATTCGAGTAGAGTCAACTTGCCGACGTCGGGTAGAGTGAGTTAGGAGACGGAGTGCCCGGACAGAGACTGATGTCGGCAGTGGAAGTAGAAGAGTTAGTTGGGAGAGGAGGACTAGTAAAGTAAAGGGTTTTTAATAACCAACAGAAATAAAAATTAACAAAAATTTGGGGCCACACATCACATTATCTTCCTCACCCACTCTATGTTATCGCCGCCTCCATCATTTTTCTCCATCTGGTTCGACCATTGAAACTAAAATCTCGATCTTCTTCTTGTTCTTCCTCTATTAAATCCTTATTTCGATTTCTGTTTGTCTGGTTTATGAAGGTCTTGGTCATTTTGAATCAATGGAACAAATTATTTTGGTTTGTGGAAAATGGAGTTTTCACAATAATCGATGGAGGTTTGGCATAGATAAGGGAAAGGAATGTCGAATATTGCGGGTACATGAAGAAACCTCTTTCGCTGGATTTCTGGGAATGGTGTTTGAAGATTTTGGTTTGGATCCGCGAAATCAAGATGTGCAATTAAGCTACATGTTGTCCAAGGAGGTACTGCAAAGATTACCACATGATACACCTCCTGTATTTGTGGCAAATAATAGACAGTTGAACGGGTTTTTCGAGCAATTGAAAGAAGATCGGATTCGCATGTGTGTTGAGATTAAATCAAAAACTCCCGATGAATTTGGTTCAGATGGAGAGAATCGTCATGCTGCTAGGAAGGAAGGAGATGTTACTGTTGAAGAGGAAGGAGATGAAGAAGAAGGCGATGACGAAGGAGGAGATAAAGAAGAACAACAACATGAAGAAGCAAAAGGAGATGAAAAAGACGAAGAAGACGAAGACTTGAGTACCAGATATGATGGATGCGAAGATCCGGATGGTGCTACTTCTGATGACGAAGAATATGGAACTTCTATAAAATCAAGGGATGGAGAAAATGTTGATGTAGAAGATGATGGTGAAACTCTACCACCAAAGGTAAATCCTGCAACAATTCTAGATTTTCTTAAGATGGAGATCAGTTCAATAGATTTAGCCGTTGGCCAAAGTTACCAGACAAAAGATGATTTGATTATGCGCCTGCAAATTCTGAGCGTCATTAAAAAATTTGACTACGATGTTGCATATTCAACATCAATATTGTTGGTGGTAAAGTGTTGGGTTTAAAGATGTGCATGGCGAGTTCGTGCTTCAATTGTAGGTGATGGTTCAATCTTCTACATTAAGACTTACGTTAGCAAGCACACATATTCTATAATTGTCCGATCACTTCGTACCCGCCATGCCACTTACCAGATTCTAGGACGTCTCTATAAAGACTTTTTCGGTGATGTTGAACCTTCTGTATTGCCAAACCATGTCTCCGATGAGCTGACAAAACGATTTGGAATTAAGGTAAGGGTTCTGATTTAAGGATTCCGGTAGATTTATGTACACTTTGAGGTGGTAGATTGAATTACGTAGATTTTTGTACTCCGGTGATGTGATGATAGATTTATGGTGGTAGATTTATTTAAGGTGGTAGATTTATTTAACGTAGATTTACGTTTGGTGGTAGATTTATGTTGAGTTTCTCTTTCTACAGGTCGATTACTGGAAAGCACATCGGGCTCTACAATATGCACGACAGTTAGTTTCTGGAACTTCGGAAAGTGGGTATGAAGAACTGTCATCTTACTTATACATGATTAGGCGAGCTAATCCGGGGACACTTATAAAGCTTGATGTCGACGATGAAGATCGGTTCAAGTTTATGTTCGTCGCGTATGCTACAAGCATTTACGGGTTCCCATACATGAGGAAAGTTGTTGTGGTAGATGGCACGTTCTTGCACGGGAAAAACAAAGGTACACTACTAATCACAACAACCCAAGATGGAAATTTTAATATATTTCCAATAGCGTTTGGTGTTGTAGATACTGAGAATGATGAGTCTTGGGAATGGTTCTTTAGAAAAACTTCACCGTGTCATTCCAGATGATGAAGGTCTAGCTATTATTGCAGATAGGCATTGAGCTATAGGAAAGGCTATAGGAAATGTGTACCCCCTAGCCAACCGTGGTATTTGCACATATCACTTGTATAAGAATATTTTGTTGAGATTCAGAGGGGGAGAAACATTCGGCCTTGTGAAAAAGGCTGCTAGAGCATATACGGTAGCAGAGTTCAATGCCTACTATGCGCAGATTCAAGCTTTGAATCCTCAACTATATGATTATTTGTAAAAGGTTGATGTGTGTAAGTGGAGTCGTGCTCATTTCCTAGGTGATAGATATAACTTCACGACTAGCAACATAGCTGAATCGCTTAATAGAGTGTTGTCTAGTGGTAGAAATAAGCCTATTGTTCGCCTACTCGAAGATATTAGGATGCTTTTAACAAGGTGGTTTGCAAAAAAACGCTGAGTTGCTAGTCTAATGCAAACATCTCTGACAACTGGAGTGGAAAACTTGCTTGCGGTATGTTTTCATGGTAGGTTTGTTTTGTATGCTAAAAGATATCATTGAACTCATGTATCATTGTATGTGTCCATGACAGGTTAGAGTTGAAGATGCAAAGCAGTTCGGAGTCCAAGAGATAGATGATCATCTAACACAAGTAACGCATGGGACAACATTGCATGTGGTTAACCTGACAGAGAAAACATGTACGTACCGCAGGTTCGATTTGGATAAGCTCCCTTGTGTCCATGTCATTGCAGCGGTTGAAGCATTAAAGAGGTCTCAAAATCCCCCTTCCCTTACACCCATCACCCTTTCGCATCCTTACTATCATACAAACTACTTGCGCAATGCCTACTCGAATTGTATTATGCCACCAGATATTGCAATGCCTGTGCCTGATGAAGTGGCCACCAAAGTGTGTCTCCCACCTGTGATGCGAAACCCTCCAGGAAGGCCAAAGAAAACACGGTTTAAGGGAGCATTTGAGGTCGCCATGGGAAAAAAATGTCCTAGAAAACAACACAAATGTTCTCAGTGTCATCAAGTCGGTCATAATAGGACTACTTGCACTACTTAAATTTTTGTTTAAAACTACTTTCCTTCCTTATGTTACCTTTGTTTATGTACTGTTTAATTTTGTTCTCATATGGGTTGATTGTAACAATAACAGACATTAGGCAGCATGAATTTATATATCATGAATAATTTTGTTATCATATGGTTTTCTCTTAGTAAAATTATTTAGAACAAGTCTACCATAACCTAAAATGCTTTAGAACAAGTAAAATGATTTACAACAAGTCTACCATAACCTTAAACGATTAAGAACAAGTTTACCATAATATTCATTGATTTGGAACAAGTCTACGACAATGGTAACTGATTACAAACAAGTCTACCATAACATTGTTACATAAAACAATAAAAGCCGCAATTAAACATACCAACAAAGGGTCATACATACAAAAACGGTGCAATCTACCATCAAATAAAACAAATGTGACCCTTTGCGATGTTACTGTACAAAAAAATCATTAGCGCCGTACAAATCTACCACAACATCATTTGGCTGAACATGTCTGAAGTGGATACCTGTCATCCCATTCACCTCTAGGGTTAGGATCAGACCGCTGCAAATTGTAGTCATCGTCCGCTTCATCCAATATC